TGTTGTTGTGGTTGTTGTTGTTGTTGCTGCTGTTATTGTTGTTGTTGTTATTGTTGTTGTTGTTGTTGTTGTTGTTGTTGTTGTTGTTGTTGTTGTTGTTATTGTTGTTGTTGTTGTTGTTGTTGTTGGTGTTGTTGTTGTTGTTGTTGTTGTTGTTGTTGTTGGTTTTGGTGTCGTTGTTGTTGTTGTTGTTGTTGTTGTTGTTGTTGTTGTTGTTGTTGTTGTCGTTGTCGTCGTCGCTCGAGCGTTGGCTTCAATGTAAAAGTGGGCCCTTGGAGGCCCAGCTACGCCGACAACGGCTCCCGCTCGATATGTCTCACAAGTTAACCCGGAGACACCCTGGCCAGAGAGGCCCCTGAACTCAGGAACGGCGCTCTCGCTCGAGACCTCCTCGCAATTCTGTCAAGTTGGCGGGGGCCCAGCCACGACGACACGGGCTCCTGCTCGATACTTCCTCACGATTTACACCGAGAGCCCCTGGCCAGGAAGGCCCCCAACTCAGGAACGGGGCTCTCGCTTGAGACTTTCTCATGATTCAGTCAAATTAGTGGAGGCCCAACTGCGACGAAAAGCGCTCCCGTTCGATACTTCCTCAAGATGTATTCGCAGAGGCCCTTGCCAGAGATGCCCCCGAACTCAAGAGTGGCGCTCTCGCTCCAGATTTTTCGTACTTCAGGCAAGGGGGTTGAGGCCCAGACACGGCGACAAGGGTTCCCGTTCGATATTTCTCAATATGTATTGCGAGAGCCCCTGGCCAGAAAAGGCCCCCGAACTCAGGAACGGCGCTCTCGCTCGAGAGTTCCTCCCATTCCGGTCAGTGGCCGACCAGGAAGATACTCCCGCAGAAAAGGGGTGCGATCGAAGACGAAGTGGGCGGGTATCGAGGGGTGGGGTATACAGGGTGCAAGACACGCGAGCCAACTAGAGCGAACAGTCTTAAAAGGATTGTTGTTGTCGTCGTCGTCGTTGTTGTCGTTGTCGTTGTTGTTGTTGTTGTTGTTGTTGTTGCTGTTGTTGTTGTTGTTGTTGCTGATGTTGTTGTTGCTGCTGCTGTTGTGGTTGTTGTTGTTGTCGTTGTTCTTGTTGTTGTTCTTGTTCTTGTTGTTGTTGTTGTTGTGGTTGTTGTTGTCGTCGTCGTCGTTGTTGTTGTTGTTGTTGCTGTTGTTGTTGTTGTTGTTGTTGTAATTGATGTCGTAGTTGTAATTGATGTCGTTGTTGTTGTTGTTGCTGTTGTCGTTGCTGCAGTTGCTGCTGTTGCTTATCGTCGTTTGTCGAAGGTCCGTCGGCTGCGCCCTGCCCTACCTGCTTTCGCTTCCCGCCGGAAGGGGGGCGGGGTCACGAGATCTGGCGCACGGGCAGCTGGTCTCGGCCCCGCCGCTGGGTGCCTCTCCTCCCTGCCCTCTGCCTGTTGTCGCTCTCTTTCAAATTGGGTATGTCCCACGACAGGAGGAATAGTCAAAAGTAGTTTTTTTTGTTCTATCTAGTGAATATGCTCGAATATGGTTTGACGAGTTCTAATTTTCTACTCCAACGTCCGCCTGTAGGAGGACGCGCCCGACCTAAGCCTTTCGGCGCCCCGGGGCGCACCGGGCAGAGCCGCCTCGGGAGCTGCTTCGCTGGCCCTCCCTTCCCTGTCCTTGGGATGTTCCAGCCTACTTTAGCCTTGATCGCCAGAAAGAGTTTCGAGCACCAAGAAAGTACCGACACTGGAGGGCTTTCACGTGTCGCTCGCTGGGAGGCGATACTCGTTCGACACTGTTTCGATGGTTTTCTGGGTGCTCGAAAGTATTTCTGGGATGTGGTCCTTAAGTACGATGGGAGCAATATAACCCTATCCCCCTTGTCGCCCGACCCAAGCGGGATGCGAGCAACTGGGGTCGGAGGATCGTGCCCGCATCGCCGATGCGTCGGCGATGCGGCTCGATGTGAAGTACGATTTTCTCAGCGCCGGCGGCGTCGATGTATTGCCGATGTGCCGCCGATGCACCGCCGATGCCTCGGCTAGGGGGCCACATGCGAACCCTACCCCTACCCCCAACGATTTCTGAGGGGGAGGGTGGGGTTCACTTCGTTCGGGAGCTCCCAAGCGAGGTAGACCCCCCCCCTCCAAAGAAATCGTGGGGGGTAGGGGTAGGGGGGTTCGCATGTGGCCCCCTATCGGCGATGCGGCGTGAGCCTCCGACCCCATCCGCTCGGCCCCCAAATGCGGGAGGCTTCCAGAGATGTGGTCGGACGAGCCGCCATTGAGGCACCGCTGGGGCCCTGAAGCAGAGCCGGGCCCTGGAGCTCTGTCGCGCCCCCGGGGCCCGAGGGCGCTGTCGGCACGGGTCGGGATATGCAGAGCTGGTGCCTGGGGAGAGCTCGAGGACCCAGGGCCCCCCTTCCCTCGGGAGGCCTTGTGCTCTTTCCCTGGTAGGTGAGACGCGGGGAGGAGTTTCGGAAGGGGGGGAGGCCGAACCCTGCTGCACGCAGCTGGTTTCGGCTCCGCCGCCGTGTGCTCTCCTCGATGCGTGGTCCCCTCTGGCGCCGGACAAAGCCGCCGCGTGTAATTGATTCGGTATCCCCCCCTTTCCTCCTCTTCCTCCTCCTCCTCCTCCTCCTCCTCCTCCTTCTCAGCCTCCTCCTCCTCCTCCTCCTCCTCCTCCTCCTCCTCCGCCCTGACAGGGCGGGTCACCACTAGAGGGGGGCCGCCAGCTCCCGTGAGAATCGGAGCGCGAGGGTCGCGGCATCGAGCAGGTTGTTTTTTGGACGAGCCTGGGAGTCCTCCTCGAGGGGATGGCGACCCCCTGCTCAGTGGTGACCACCCCTTGTGGTGACCTCCCCTGGCATTGCCTGGCCTCCAGCAGGCTCGCGCCACGTTGACGCGGCGGCGACCCTAGCGCGGGCGTTCAAAGTCCTCCTCCTCCTCCTCCTCCTCCTCCTCCTCCTCCTCCTCCTCCTCCTCCTCCCCCTCCCCCTCCTCCCCCTCCCCTCCTCCTCCTCTCCTCCTCTCCTCCTCCTCCTCCTCCTCTGTCTCCTCCCTTCCTCCTCCTCTCCTCCTCCTCCTCCTTCTTTCTCCTCCTCTTTCTCCTCCTCCTCCTCTGTCTCCTCCTCTACTTCCTCTGTCTTCTTTTCCTCCTCCTCCCCTCCTCCTCCTCTTTCTCTCCTCTCCTCCTCCTCCTCTTTCTCCTCCTCCTCCTCCTCCTCCTCCTCCTCCTCCTCCTCCTCCTCCTCCTCCTCCTCCCTCTCCGACCTCGAACGACCTGCGCTGTCGGAGAGCCGCGATCTTTCCAGGTCGAGCGATCCGCGCGGTGTCAGGAACCAGCCCGCCGACACCATCGCGACGCGAACCCGCCGAAGGCAAAATCCTCCGCGGCATCGTACAAATTTGGGAAGGCTACGACGAACTTCGGCCAAATTGGTGCACGGTCGGGCAATTACTGCGCCTGCTGGACAGGTACTGTTCGGGCAATTGTACGTTCGGGCGATTACCCGCGAACCGCCCACCACTCCTTCCTGCCCCCCTCCTTGGCAGAATCACAGGGGAACGAAGAATGACATAAACGTAAAGGTGAAACCTCGGAGGTCCGCGCGGATTTCTTGGATCGGCGCCGGACCCCCCGCCCAGGCGCGCGGAGCGCGCCAGGGGCTGCGCCGGAGGCGCCGCCAGGGGGGTCCAGCGCGGACCCGAGAAATCCGCGCGGACCTCCGAGTTTTTATGCTGATGTCATTCTTCGTTCCCCTAAATCATCTCCACATTAATTTTCTGTTCGGCAGCCGCCGAGTATAGGTTTTGGGCCCTCGTGGGTCTCAGTGCGATCACGTTGGAGATGTGACGGCGGGCGGGCCCGACGGCGGGCGGGCTCTCGTGCGGAGCTGCGCTGGGCGCCCCTGTGCGCTCGATGTGTGCGCCACTGGCGCTCCTCCTCTTTGCCCCCCTCCTCCTCCCCCCTCTGTCGGGAGAGGGGGGCTTTCCGTCGCCATCTCCGTCGCCGTCGCCTTCGCCATCGCCGTCGCCGCCGTCGCCGCCGCCGTCTTCGTCGGTTCTCGTGTGGCAGCCGCCACCGACGCCGCCGCACCCGCCGCCGCACCCGCCGCCGCCGCCGCCGCCGTCGTCGTCGTCGTCGTCGTTGTCGTCGTCGTCGTCATCGTCGTCGTCGTCGTCGTCGTCGTCGTCGTCGTGGCTGTCGTCGTCAACGTCTTCTCGTCGTCGTCATCGCCGTCGGTTCTCAAACGTCTCGTGTGGTCGCCGACGCCGTCGCTTCTGTCTTCGTCCTCGCACCCGCCGCCGTCGTCGTCGGTTCTCGTGTGGCAGCCGCCACCGCCGCCGCCGCCGCCGCATCCGCCGCTGCACCCGCCGCCGCCGCCGCCGCCTCCGTCGTCGTCATCGTCGTCGTCGTCGTCGTTGTCGTCGTCGTCGTCGTCGTCGACGCCGTTGTCGTCGTCGTCGCCGTCGGTTCTCGAATGTCTTGTGTGCTTCCGGAGGTAAGTCGACATGTCTTGAGCTTTACTGATATTTCCATCGAGTGGCTTCCATGTGAGAGGGGGGCAGAGGAGGGGGGAGGCGAGACGAGCGTGTGTGTGTGTGTGTGCGTGTGGATGGGAGGGTGTGAAATACATGGGCTCGGCGTTGCTTATTATTACTTATACGATCGGTCACATGCCTTCTGTATTCATTTGGGCTCCCTCCGTTTCAGGGCCTTTTGAGCTTGGGCGAATCAGGAACGACAGTCGGCTGCCTCGATACGCAAAATACGTTCGCCAGTCTTTGCATGAATTCATCCACGATTTGCATACCATAACCATGCGTTTATCTTCGCACTTCGACCCTGGTTTGCATTTCTGGGTCTACATTGGTAATAGGAGCTAGCTCGACCACGGCATCGTGCGCGACTTCGCAGAGTCGGCGATGGCTACCAGCAGATGCAGCTCGTGATTCGCCGCTGACGCCTCTCTTCTTCGTCGCCGCCAGCATGGCGATACATGGAGGAATTGCCGCAGCGGGCAGCCAGGAAACAAAGGCGGGGGCAAGATTCCAATACCCGTCCTGGACGGCACGAGCAAGACAGTGAAGAAGTACAGCCGAAAAATCGACGCTTGGCAGATCGGCGCGGAGGTCTTGCCGCCCAAGCCTGGGGCCACGCTCGTGGCGAGCCTCCAAGGGAAAACCGAGGAGGCGTGCGAGGAGCTCGATTTGGATACGATCAAGGAGGACAGCTCGATTGAGGTTTTCTTGGGGTATCGCGGGACTCGTTTTCGCGAGATCGAGGTGTTGGAGACACCCGCGCTTCTGCGGACGTTCGTGAAATCAGGCTGCGTCATGTTCAATGTCGAAGAAGTTCGAGATTTCAACAACCGCTGCACCGGCATCGCCACGAAGCTAGAAACGGGTAAGGGCATCCACGTGCCAGACGAGGTCCTAGCCGCTACTAGCCGACCTATGCATAAAAAAAGAGCTCGAGTGCCCACGGAGCGCGCGGCTAGCGTGCTGAACGCGGTTGGCAACGAGTTCAATCATGTCAAAATCCAGGAGCAGTTGATGATGAACCTGCCCAAAGTCGTGGCCGTGGACGGCTATAGTGGCGACCGCGATAAAGGAAACTACGGAGGTCACAAGAAGGACCACAAGAACGTACGCCACGGAGGCCAATGACGACTAGCGTGGAGCAGAGGACGACGCGTCGAGCGACATCTCCGACGCCTTCAACGATGATGTGCCCGACGAGCTGTAGGATGCTCTCGACGAGGCGGAGGGGCGGGTGGCGTTCTTCACCAAGAAGATGGTGCGCGCGAGGGACGAGCTGAGGGAAGCCAAGCAGTCCCGCGGCTACTTCGCCAAGAGGGATGGCGGCCAGCCGTCCAAGAAGGACGGCCCCACGACCAGAAAGATGAAGGCGAGAATTCACTGCGGAGCTTGTGGCCAGAAGGTCACTGGCGGGGCGACCCGCAGTGTTCGAACAAAAACGACCACAACGCGAGGGCGGATATTCCCCGCCGCGAGGGGGCTAACCAGACGAACGTGACACCGAACGACGGGGCCGGCAAGCACCAGCAGCCCCACTTGGCCGAGATGACAGTCGCGGCGGTCTACAAGCACGACCAGATAGGCCCGGCCAGTGCCCGCAGTCAAGGCGTGCAACAGGCGATCGACGGCAAGAAGCTTCGCCAGGACGTCGTCATTCCCCCGGAGGTGACCGCCGTCCAGGTCTACATCGATCCGACCAACCACTGCCCATGGCAGCGAGGGCTCAGCGCTGATCTACATCAGCATCGAGGAGCTACTCAAGGAATCAGGAGGCAAGTTGACTCTCGACACGGCCTGTTCGAGGTGCGTCGGAGGCTTGGACTGGTACAGCGACGCCAAAAAGAAACTGGCGGCCTTCACCATCCAGCCCATCGGGTATGCGGAGAAGGACCCGTTCCGTTTCGGAGCGTCCAAGGTCGCGTAGAGCATCTATGCGGCGTTCCCTGCTCGGTGAACGGCCAAGAGTTGACCGTCATAATTAATATCGTGCGCAGTGCCGTGCCAGGACTGTTCAGCCGTCAGGCCCAGTGCGGGCTCGACGCCGTCTATCACGCAGCGGACAACAAGCTGGACGTCAAGTCGATCGGCGAGTCTGGCATCCAGATGAGCCTGGACCGCGCTGGCCACCCGACGCTGGACGTCTTGGGCTTGAAGCCGAGCTACAAGTCCGTGCAGGACGTGTCGGGCGCAAGGGCCGAGGTCCGTCTGCGTGTTTTTTTCGATTTATCACGCTGAGACGGCAGCCGCGGTCTGCCCTGCCATCGCGGTGGAATCGGACCGCAAAGGCCGATAGGGTCGACGCTTCGGGGGCCGACGAGTCTCAGCCGGAGACTGATTCAAGCAGCGGGCTCGGTAGCGGTGAACTGTTCCCACAGCAGGTGCGCCAGGCCATGTGTACATACATCATATCGCGTCAGTCTTCGCCAGGATCAGAAGATGAGCCTTCGGGCATCATTCCAACGCCATCTAGCGTGCTACAGATCACCCAAGGGGAGTTCACCTTACGGAAAGACATGCCATCCAGTAGACGTCAGCAGCTAAATCTTCGATTTCTGCAGCAAGTCAGCGGCAGCGAGCTGCATGGATAGCCATCATCACGTAGCCATCGAACAGCATGATCGTCGCAGCCTTCCACCTCGAGTTCGGCTCTGGCTACACCAGAGAGTGAGTGCTGCGCGTGCCGTGGCAGATCCGGCCACTGCAGCTCACGACGACCCCACGGCAGGCGCTTGTGCCCCCGCGCCGGCCATGTACGAGATGTCCCAGGGCGACGAAACGGGGAACAACTACTCGGACACGCCGACGCCGAGTACTCTCCAGCTGCCGACGGTTTCCGGCATGAGGCTCCGAGAGCTTCGGGCGGATGCGGACAGCTACAAGCTGGATGTTCGCGACGCTACGTGCGACCAGCTACGTGTTTGTGTTTCGTTTCGAGTGTCTGCTTTCTGTTTGCTTTGAAAGTGAGGAAATGGACTTGTGAGAAGCCCATAAGGCCC